TTCACGGACTGGCACTTCCTTATTTTCAGCCCTCCGACGGCCCAACAGGCCCCCAAGATCGCCCTCAGAGCGCCCAAGAGGCCTCCAAGATGGTCCCCTGACGGCACAAGAGGCCTCCGAGACGCTCTCAAGAGGGCCCCGTGCGGGCCCCAAGACGACCCCAGAGGCCTCCAAGACGTTCAAGATGGCCTCCAAGACGGCCCTGAACCGCTCCAAGACGGCTTCCGACGGCGTCAGGCGGGCCAGGCGCGCCCGACGACGGCCAAAGAGGCTCCCAAGAAACCCACAAGGGCCCCCAATAAGTCCCCCAAAGGCCTCCAAGAGGCCCCCAGGAAGCTCCCCGACGGCCCCGAGAAGGCCCCAAGAGGCTCCCACGAGGTCTCCTCCTCCTCTTCCTCCTCGTCCGTCTCCCGATGCTCGCCTCCATCCTCCCGCAAATGTTCCTCGAAGGGTTTCCACCACGGCTCGGGGAACACATACTTAGTCCGATAGCTTGTCCAGGCGTTGGTCACAACGTTCGGCCACATGGGTGCTTCCGACAGGCATGGGGGCGGCTGCGATTCGCTGTAGACGTCTTCGATCCGCCGCCCTTTGTGCTTGCCACAGGAATGCGCGGCGTGCCAAATGCCCGAGTGTCCTGTTCTTTGATCTGCGTATGGGATCTTCGCTTGACTGGACCCCAACCCATGTTCTTTGTAGAAGTCTACGATGTGCAATAAGCGCGGGGCAACCTGCGTGGTGCAAAATACGTTGTGCAACTCACATACCGAACTTGAAATTGACAACCCCACTGCTCGCGCAAACATCCCATCCACCCGCCCGTAACTATGTTTGAAAAACCCATGCGGGAACGATTGCGATGAGTGCTGGGTGTTGACTGGTGCATCTCTGCGGCCGCGCTGGCACGCGGATACTCGCGCGCGCAACGACCAACTAGGTTGGCGCGACCGACGCGAACGCGGTGGCGCTGACCGCTCGGCACGTTCCAGCGGGCTCTTCAGTGCGAGTCGGCGACGTGGGCGGGCGCGATATCATGGCAACGTCGACGGCGTAGACACGATGATAATAGTAGCGATGCTGGTGGCGATGCTGGCAACGACGATGGGGCAGCCAGTGACGGCGCCGATGCTGATCACGCCGACGACGATGACGGCGTCTTCGCGTCGGTGATGAAGGTTTTGGAAGGAATTCGAAATGCGCGCGCGGCAAACGCGCGAGAGTGACTCGCATGGTATGTATTGACACGGATCGTGCCACCCCAGCGCGCGCGCGCAAGGGCGATTGAACGATTTAGACATGCGCGCGCAAAGCCTGTTTGGCAGAATGGTATGGACACGTCGTTCTTAAGAATTTGCAAGAGCGCGCGCACGATTCTTTGTTTTGTTATGTTGTTGGTTAAGTTGGTTTGAAAATCAGTGTTGCGGGACCCTGTGGTTTTTTATATGGTTTCTGGACCGTCATTTTCGACGCCCTTCCCAAACCGAACCTGGTGGAAGGAGCTGTTCGGCGAGAACTCCAGGCTCGGGCACTGGATGTGGGGAGCGCACTGGCACTCCGGGCAGCTGGGGCAGTCCAGCGTCGGGCAGACACCGCAGGACACCACTGGCTCGCACGCAGGGCACTGCTGGGAGCCTCCCCGCACTATGAGCGCTGTGGAGACCCCCCGGGCGACCTCAGCCCCCGCGCGCGCAAGGAACTGATGCATCGACGTTGTGTGACCCAAAAGCATGAGCCGTAACAAGTACGGCAGAGGACAGACACTGCAAGCATACAGTCCTGAAGACAACCATGAAGACATATATCTATGTATACGTGTATAGATATATGTGTTAATATATATATATATGTATACATGTGTTATGCGAGAGTCGCCCCCGAACAGAAACCGCCGAAGGCCGCGCACCAGAGGCCACCCCCAGCGAGAGGGCCACCCTGGCTCGCAACAGACGTCTGGTGTCTGTGGAGCGAGCACGAGAGGGAGCGCCACGGGAGGATGCCAATTGACTGGGCACCAGGGCTGAACGGAAACGTTGTTCCCAAATAAGTGCTAGCACTGTGGGGGTCCTAGCGGAAATTGAAAGGTTTGGCGAAAATGTCTCGCCGATTTTGGTGGCCGGCTGGGTTCCCAAGCTCCCGGTTCCGGGTTACCAGGTTCCTGGTCATTGGTTCCGGGTCGATTTCGGTGGGTTCCGGGTTCCCGGTTCCCGTGTTCCTGGTCGATCTCCTTATCGATATCTTTATAGATCCCATTTCAAAACATCCACTGATTGGGTTCTTCTCTGGTTAATTGTTCGTTGTGTCTTCGTTTTGTTGTTCGTTTTGCTTTACGTAACTGTTTTCCTGAACCTCCCTGCCAAAAGGAAAAGCAAAGCACATCCGAAGTCCAACAAAACAGCGTTTAGGTCCAGCCCTGATTTGGTGTCGGTGGAGCGAACACGAGAGGAAGCGCCACGGAATGACGCCAGTTGACTGGGCACCTCAACTGCTCGCCGCGAAACGCGCCGGCTGCGGGGGAAATATCAGGCGTAAGACGTGGAGCGCGAACAGCGGAGGATGCGGAGCACGCGGCGCGCCAGGCCAGCTCTGCACAGGGTCCTCCTCGCAGCCGCCTTCTGCGGCTCGTAGGTTTTCAGGAACGCCTCCTGGGCCAACGTCTGAATGGAGCCTGGGCGGCACATCCTGATCCAACCCATCCACGCACCACCGGGGATTCCCACCATGTCCATGGCCAGCACGCCCAGCAGCGTGCCCGTTCGGCCGAGGCCTGCCGCGCAATGGACAACGATCGCGCTGAAGCCGCCTGTCTGGTCGGGGCCGTCGTGGTCCATGTCCGCAATCACCTCCTCCACCGCGGAGTGGAAACTGCGTATGACCTGGACGGGCGGCACGGAGCCGTCGTCGAAGTGCAGGGCTTCCTGCTGCACCTGCCAATACTGGGAGAAATAGTCCTTGTACGAGCCAGTCGAAGGCAGGGCGTGCTCGTTCGGGCGGTTCAGCTGCACCAGCCTCCTGCAGCCTACCGAACGCAGCCACGTGCCGAACTCTGGGAGCGTCGAGAGGCCGCGCTCCTTCACCAACTTCACGGGCACCGAGCTCTGCCTGCTGTGCTGCTCATGGCCCCAGCGCCTGACGCGAACCATCTCTAACCACGTGACCCTGTCGACGCTAGACGGCGTCACGGGCGTCGGGTGTGTCTCGTGGAACATGCTGCCCAGCGGCGTGCTGGTGGCGTGGGCGTCTGGCACTGCTGCGGTCTCATTCTTGTCGTGGGCGTCAAGCTCGGCGGAACGAGCTCGGCTACAGATCCACTGCTTCGGTGGGTCCTCGGCGGGGTCTGGATCCGGCGAGCCCATCGGGCCGACAACTGGCTCAGTCGTCATCCTTTCGAACTTGGACCGCCCCGGCGGTGTGGCCAGGTTCAGCTCCCCCTCGAAAGGGCCCTGCCGCTCCGACCGCATGGTTGCATCCTCTGACTCTGACAGTCCTTCCCTCGTCGTCCCGGCCGGGGCGCTGGCATAATCGCCGGGCGACCTCTTCTTCCTATCGCCTGTGCTCCACGTCTTCATGCGTTGCCGGGTTCCCTTGGGCATGTTGACGTAGTCTGACACGAAGCCGCCCTCCGGGGGCGCAGGCCTCACCCCTGGGTCCGCCACCGTAGTGACGGGGTCGGCCATGGCGTAAAAGGTTAGCCGCCCAGGCTCGCCCGCGTGGGCCTTGAGAGGAACATGGAAAGTGAGGCTTGCGTCGTACGTAATCAGAAGCCTGCGCCACTCCTCGTAGTCGAAGCCTTCGTAGTCAAGCCAGCCCTTCGCCACGGCCACCTGCAGCCCGACGAGGCAGTCCTTGACCGTGAGCGAGTGCGCGTGCCACTGCGCCTCCCTCGCCCACGGCGCTGGGAACCGCTGCTGCTGGAGGGGGGTCTTCGGCAGCCGGGCGAAGGCCTCGTCTGCGGAAAGCCCCCGCGCGAGCACCAGGTGGGCGCCCAGCAGCAGCATGACGTTGGCGCAGGCCCCCTTCGAGCAGAGCACGCCCACGGCGCCCTCTTCCTGCGTCTGGGCCGCGAGGTCTCTGGAGAACGCAACGATGTGCCCGATGCTGACTGGCCCTACACCGCCGGCCCCCAGCGCGCCTGGGGGGTAGTTGATCGCCTCAAGCCGGGCGAAGCCGGCGCTCGCCATGTTCTCCGGGAGGAGGACCTTCATGGCTGGGGGCGCCTGCACGCCGTCGCTGCGGAGGCGCACTGGCCTCCCCCGGTGCACGTGGTCCTGGCACGGCGGGCCTGTCGTGCACTCCGGGCAGACCGTTGGTGAGCAAAGCCTGCACAGCAGCCTGGGGGCGCCTCCCTCGGACCACACCGGTCGCCACCTCGCCATCGCCGCCGAGAGCGCGCGGGGAGGGCCTCTGGCCCGGCCCAAGGCCCGCCCGCGGCGCGCGGCATCAGGCCTTGAGCCAACATGGGGGGGTGGATTGTACCCTGACTCTCTGCGAACCCTGTCATCCTTCATCTCTGCTGGCCCACATCCCGATATGCCATGGCGGATCCCTCGATGGCCGTGTTGGGCGGCATAAGGCACACGCGTTCGCGAGTGCTTCTGTGTACGTGCGCATGTCCATGCTCGACACTAAGAGAGGCATTGGAAACGCACCTAGGACAAGGAGGACGACGAGAACGACGAGGAACAAGGACGACAATCCGAGGCTCGAGCGATAAGCCTTGTCACTGATGTTCGATTCGAGCGCATGCGAAGTCAATCTCGAATCTACTTTATACAACGCGTCATCATGAAACATTATACGGGATCACAGATACACATGTCGCTGTAATATTCAAGCACCCAGTAAGACAAAGGCGTGCAGACGATCCTTCTCATGACTCGCATTGTGGTCCTGCGCTCGGTGTGATCACTGCACCCTCGCCCGAGTGAAAGAAATAGCGTCACTAAGTGTGAACCTGCTTGTTGCTCCTGCTATGGTGACCGCGCACGTCGAGGATGACGGGG